CACTGATGGTCAACACAACTACAACTTTAAGGTTATGTGAAGAAATAATTCGAGGAATCAGCAAAAATAAAAATAAATAGTTGCTAGGCAACGGTGACAATAAAATAATTCTATTGCAATGCTATGGATACTGATTGTGCATTTAATATGCATTCATGTTTTAAGTAAGTAAGCGGGCAGCTAATTTTGCGGCCCTAGGGACCTGCTCGGTCCCCAAATAACGATGACAGCTGGCATGGCCAGCAAAACGTAACTTTCAGCCACCAATTAACGTATGTAGAACCACTAAAACATTATAGTGTGGTGAAAAAAAATTATACATACTTTCGATACATGCGATTGCATACAATCGAAGCTCATTACTGAGTTTAAATCAGCTGATTTTCACTTCCTAGGGAGAAAAGAGTGAAAAGACCTACTTTAAGCTCTTTAAATACGGCTGTTTTTGCTGCAGTATGACTCAGCGTTTGCAGTATGCCTCAGTGTTTTAATAAATATTTGATAGTTAATTTGTCGATAGTGTAATGCAGGTTTATCTTATATAATTCATTACAATGACCAACCACCAAACCACATACACTTCAGATTCAGTTAAGCCTAAAATTATTCAAAGATCCCGTGGGTGATAACATAGGTACCAAAAAGATATTTTTTAGATTTTAAGATGAAAAATTAACTGATGAAGAAGCGGATGAAGCAACAGTCTGATCTAGAGTTAAGTTCACAAGAACAGTGGGAATGAAGCTAGTAATGCCTCTCACATTGAACAGATCCAAAACTGGGTTCCTAGGCAAGACTAGTAACTTTCCGTAGAACGAAGACGAGTATTGGTGTTACCTTCGAACTTACCATTCCCGGAGCTCACATTGAGCATACACCATACCGGAGCTCACAATGAGCATACACACTTCCGGAGCTCACATTGTGCATACACACTGCCGGAGCTCACATTGAGCATACACACTGCCGGAGCTCACATTGACCATACACACTTCCGGAGCTCAGGTCGACTTACATACCGGAGCTCACATTGCATTACAAAATCCAAGTTGTGAATTTTAATCAAACCTTGAGTTTTAAGTGTCCACAGTTAAGTACAAGACATCTTTTAAAAAAGTGACATATATTTTCTTTAAATAACCTCTCCTTCTACCGGAGCTCACATTACTGTGTAATACCATGGAGCTCACATTGGTTGCCAAACGCGTATGTGTGTGTGTGTCTGTGTGTCTGGATGTGTACAGAGCTAGGGACTACACCTGTGGTCCGATTTCGATGAAATTTGGTATGTAGGTTCTAATCAATGGTATCTCCAGGCGTTTTTTTTCATTTTTTGAAATTTTGATTTTTAATGGGGATTTTCCCATAAAAACCCATAAAAAACCGGAAAAATCTAATTTTTTCAAAAATGGCCCGAACGATTTTGATAAAAATTTAGCATGTTGTAGCCCTTTAAATTCTGAACAAAATGGTACAAATTCCATTTCTCTAAAAATTACGGTTCAAAAGTTATGGTAACTTATGTTATTTTCCCATAAAAACCCCGTAAAATAACGAAAATAGGATTTTAGAAAAAAATTCTGTTTTAATTTAACATAGTATGTTATAGTCCTTAAAGTTTTGATAGTTTTTTCATTTAAAAAAAAATTAATTTTTTATGGAAATTTTCCCATAAAACCCCATAAAATAACGGAAAAATAGGATTTTCCCAAAAACGGCCCAAAACAATTTTGATAAAAATTTGGTATGTTATAGTCCTTTATATTCTAAAGAAAATGGTACAAATCCCATTTCTGTAAAAATTACGGTTCAAAAGTTATTGTAAATTATGTTATTTTCCCATAAAAAACGCCATAAAATAACGGAAAAATCGGATTTTCACAAAACTGGCCCAAAACGATTTTGATAATAATTTTGTATGTAGTCCTTTAAATTCTTAACAAGATTATACTAATCCCAATTCCGTATATTTACTCTCACCGCTTACACAATATAATAAAGGTTGTTGACAAACTTATGGGAGAAAGTATGTGTCAGAATGCTGATACCGTTTATTTATTGTATAATGGTCATAAAAGTAAATTAGTTTATAGCAAAACATAGTTATAAAAATAATATTAACTATTTTTAATATTCATTTAAACGTCTGTTATGGTCGTTACAGGATTTTGTGTTTTTCCACTAAAGATGCTCTTTTTTTTAAAAAAAATACCAAAGATATTGCGTTACCATGGACATTTTATGAAACTTCAAATGTTAATGAAATAAAAAAATAATAAAAGTTTTGAAAAAAGGGGAAAAAAATTTGCAAAATGCTTTTCCTGAAAACGTACGTTTTTAAATTTTCACTCTACACCCTATATTGTATTTCTATAAACCTATTACCACGGTCCTTACTACTGACTTATGTATATCTAAAAAAAAAGATACAATAGAAAACAATGTTTATTGAAAAAGGTTTTTTGTCAACGTTTGGCAATAAATAAAGAACAATATTTAAACAATAAATAAAGACAACGTAGTGTTGAGCAGGAAACGTCGAGGGGGGGGGGTAGGAAAAATTGGTGGTGCACGGGAGAGGGGGTGGCGCTGGAGAGGGGTAGGCGCGGGAGAGAGGGGGGAGTGCACCACACATAATATGTTTAGCAATAATGGCAATAATGGTTTGTGTAGGGTTTTCAATTATCTGGAAACTAATTGAATCCTATATAATTTAGGTAGTGAGCGCAGCCATGAAGAGAGCAGGAAAGTGAAGTGAAAGGTAAAACTCACACCACAGTTAAACGATACTTTAGGTCCAGCGCACACGGTGTGACTGTTTTACAACAACTGTTGCAAACAAGTTGCACCTGGAACCAGTTTGCAACTGAAACAAAACTTCTGTCCGCACACGGTGTGACTGTTTTACAACTACAGTTGCTTCTATTGTGCAATCAGTGGAGTGTCAATTTAGTGTTGTTACGTTGTTTTAAGGCTTTAAATGCGCTTACTATGTCAGTCTCAGACGAAGAAGACGTTATTAGCTATTATCAATACCGAAGAGAGCGAAGGGTACTGAGAGAGCATTGGGTTCACCCTTATTTGAGGGTTCACCCTTATTTGAGGGTTCACCCTTATTTGAGCAAGAATGTTAGTACTAGGCTGTTTGTAGCAGCTAGAGCTAGTCGGATAGGAAATTATAAACACTAATAAAACTATACGGCCGTCAAAATACCACCAAAATACCACCAAACACCACAAAACACCCCGTGGTCTCGTGCAACTGAAGTCTGCACCGCAAATGCAACGTCGGGCCCACGGTTGCACGCAACTGGTTTCAAATGTTTTTTGAAATCGCATACAACCAGTTGCGTCGTGTGCGCCTCCCCACTGCAATACATTGCCGAGGTCTCAAAACAGTTGCACGCGCAACTGGTTTGCAACGAAAGTTGTAAAACAGTCACACCGTGTGCGCTGGGCCTTATTAGGCAAGATCCCAAAAGTATATCAACAAGCTCAAAACAACAATACATTCAAAACAAACATCAAATATGCAACATATGATAACAATTATAAAAATACCAAACAGCACAGAAAGTGGCACCTTGGTACCGTCAAACATCTGGTTACTGCTCAAGCACACCTACCAGTCTGTCTGAAGAGAAGGCGGATATATCCGCTTCCCGCCCAGAACAACAAAACCATAAGTGGATATATCCGCCACCCGTCCTTTATCGAAAAAGACTGAGGCGGATATATCCGTCACCCGTCCGGGAAGGGTTAATAGGCCTATTTATTTTAAGTTAATCCATGAAATTGGCAATTTTAAGCTTTTTTCTAAGGGGGTGGTAAAAACCCTGTGGTCTTGTTACTATCTAGAACATCAAAATGTTGATAGATATAGAATCATTATAACTGACAAGTTAAATGGCATCTAGGACCAGGAACAAACTCACTTAGAATAAAACCAGCAATCTTTAGATTTGAAGGCGAGCAAAACAACCACTTGGCTACCAAAACTCTTTTTGTAAGATATACGAGGCATGTCTTTTAAGTAAGTACCGTTTTTAAATTTCTCCGTTCCAGCACTGCGATTGGCATTTTCGACATTTGTGCTGTGTATGGGCATCTATTGGTAAGACCTAGCCGGAAATTCGAGAACAATCGGCCGTGTTTACATCCGGTTTCGACCATTCAAAATGGTGCCACCAATTGAGACTGCCGCCGACTGTGAAGTGCGCGCTGTAATTAGATTTTTAAATGCTAAAGGTGTGAAAGCCATTGAATATCATCGACAGATTAGTGAAGTGTATGGCGAGAACATTATGAGTGCCATAATGGTACGCAAGTGGATAAAGTCATTTCAATACAGCCCCACCAGCGTTCATGATGAGTAACGCACTTGGCGGCGTCATTACTGTCCCCGTATCCAGTGTGTTGCACATCATGAACGTTGGTGGGGCCGTCTTAAAATGCCTTGTTCTATCTAATCTACTTGACGTGTTTGATTCCGTCACTCAATCTTCTCGCCATACATTTCACTAATCTGTCGATAATATTCAATAGCTTTCACACCTTTAGCACTTAAAAATCCAATTACAGCGCGCACTTCACAGTCGGCGGCAGTCTCAATTGGCGGCACCATTTTGAATGCTCGAAACCGGATGTAAACACGGCCGATTGTTCTCGAATTTCTGGCTAGGTCTTATTAATAGATGCCCATACACAGCGCAAATGTCGAAAATGCCAATCGCAGTGCTGGAACGGAGAAATTAAAAAACGGCACTTACTTAAATAACATGCCTTGTATTTATTTGAATTTTTAAGACAAATGTGTATTTTACAAGCATGAGACTAAACCTCTAAATTACATTAGTATTCAAATTGTAAGTTTTTACGATATACAGTGGAAGAATAATCGTGGCGACAGAAGTACAATCAGTTGACGTTGAATCTGTATTTAATTTTGAATAACTACCGTACAATCTAGGCCTAAAGTAAAAAAAAAATGGCCTACTTACTTCCCCATTGTGAGATTCTGAAACTGTACGAGATTTGGTGGGTTTCTGGTGGGTTGGTGAGGAACTGCTTTCATCAAAACTGGATGCTCCACTCTCAGATATTGATAAATCTCTTATCTCTTTTATCAACTTCTTTTCTTTATTCCCACTTTTGCTCTGCAAACTTTCTATCCTATATCCATTCTGTTCCTAAACAAACATTAAAGATGTTATTTTAAATCTTAGCAACTTAAATTTAAATTGGCCAAATAAAATTTTTTTTTTATTACCGGTAATAAAAACCTACCTATTGAGTGATTAATAGCTAAATGTAACTTTGCATTTCAAAGTATGTCTGAATAAACTATGCAACTTCTCCAAATTTACAAATAAATGAAACTTTGTCGTAATTAGTCTTAATTTGAGCAATTGCTATTAATACTGTTTATAGGCCTACTTATTGCAATTTCTGATGAAGCGCCTCTACTGGTTTGAGGAAGAAGAAGTTAAAAACACTAAATCTACTAATGATGTTAATATATTTTGTGCTGACTAGCATGGGCGTGATCTGGCTGAACATGTAAAGAGGTCACATGAAGTTGTGGATTTGGTTTACACACAGAATTGAGTATTATACTCAATGCACACGGCAAACAATGTTCTTGGTGAAATAATCCAATTAAAGGATGTGTAAGTAAAAACGACTTCTTTAGTAGTAGCCTAAGTAGTATTTGGATAAAAGTAAACTTACGGTAACTAAGCAAAAAAAAAAATAATAACAATGACATATTTTCTAGACTTTGACTGGTTTTTTGGAAACAACGGTAGGCCTAGAAGGTAGGACAGAAAGAAACAGTAGGCCTACTGGTTATGTTGTTGTAATCAACCTTTCTCAAAGGCATGATATTCCACATTGGTCATGTGTAAACAAAAGGGATTTCAAGAACCAATGAGCCTCCAAAAGAACTTAGGGAAAAAATCTGGGAGCAAATTAGGGAGAGGGAGCAAGTGATTCTGACTGGCAGGCTGCATAAAAGTCATGGACAACGCCTCTAACAGATGCTGTCCAGACTGTTCGTTGAGAGTCTTGTCAGCATATAAAAGTTTCCAGCTGCCTTAAAAAACCAGGGACATGAGTCAACCCCCTCCAGGAACAGAGTTGGTGTCGGAAAACTTTACCCTACTGGTTTCAATGGCTCAAACGAAGTAAAATCGGCAAGTATAACTGTTTTCATGTAGGCCTACCTATATTAAAAATCTGAAACTAAGGCTACAAGCCATCGCTGATTAAAGGTTTTTTCTAAGTCAATTTGAACTGCTAAATGCTTATGTCGGCTAACCTCCTGAATGTCTGGGAGATTCCTCTTCTCAGTTTCTTGAACAACTGGAATATCAGGAGTTGATATTTTCTCTTCGCTGACCGCAGCCAAGTGCTAAAAAAATGTTAGGTACCATAAGTTTTAATTAACTAAGTAAGTTACTGTAGGAAAAGGTCTCGATTTTGAAATTGTAAAAACAATTCCATGCTGATGATTGTTATGGAATGCAACAAATAAGTTACCTATGGTTTTTATAACTTACTTACTTACTTACTTACTCCCTCGACGTCGTTGACCAGCTCTTGCTGGATAGACTGAGTCAAAATAAAAATAATAATAATAATAATATTTATATACATATTTACAAGTTTGGCGGCAGGTTAGACGCAAATTTTATAAAACTCATCTAGGGAGTACAAGGGTCTTGCCAGTAGCCACTCCCTCAGTTCGTTTTTGAAAACTGAGGCCTCAAGGTTTTTAAAGTACAGTGGCAGTCGGTTGTACATCCTAATTGCCAGCATAGGAAAGCTGTCCTTTTTTTTGTTTAGTCTGCAGAAAGGGATATCAAGGTTGGATTTTGACCTTGTATTGTGATCATGTTGGTCTTCTCTCAATGCAAGACTAGAGATGTTGGTCCTTACGTTGTTTAGGGTGATTAGAATGTACTGGCTGTATACTGTAAGGATATTGAGTTTACTAAAAAGAGGTCTGCAATGTTCGTGGTAGTCAGCGGACGAAATAAGTCTGACTACCTTCTTTTGTAACAAAAGTATATCCTTACATCCAGCTGCATGGCCCCAAACCTCCAACCCATAGCTGATATGGCTGTGGAACAAAGCAAAGTAGACAGTCAGTAGGTATTGCTTTGTCAGCATAGGTTTGAGCTTCCTAAAGAGATGCAATGTCCTCGATAGCTTGGTGCACACTTTCATGGTATGTTTTTCCCAGGTGAGTTTGGGGTGATTATGAAGCCTAATAATTTTACTTCAGGCAGGTTATCAGGGATGGGATTCCGAGCTAGACTGCAGGTCATGTGTTGCGTTTTGGTTTCATTTAGGCAAAGCTTATTTGCTTTGAACCACGTCTTGGTTTTCTCGAAAGACTGTACAGCCTTGGCCCTGGCTTCCTCAGGAGTGCTTGCATCCGCAAAGATAGTCGTGTCGTCCGCAAAAAGCAAGACGTTGCCTAACTGTCCGAGGTCGTTTACCATCACCAAGAATAGCACAGGGCCCAACACAGATCCCTGGGGCACGCCATGTTTAACCGGCAATGGTTGTGAATTTGCCCCTTTTACTGCCATGATCTGTTTCCGATTTAGGAGGTAGGATTTAAAGGCAAGTAGTGCTGGCCCCCCAACGCCATATAGATGTAACTTTTCTAGCAGTTGAATGTGGGAGACGCAATCAAAAGCTTTGCTTAAGTCAGCTAGGGTGAGTGCAACTGAATTCCCCTCTTCGAAAGCATCGACTACCTCGAAACTTTTAAGACATCAGGGAAAACCCCATGGGACATACAAAGATTAAGTACTTTTGCTAGGGGATCAGCAATAATGTCCGCAACATGTTTCAGTACAATGATGTTTAAGCCATAAATATCCTGACTAGTTGTGTTCTTGAATTGTTTGATTATTTTAATGACATTTTGAGGCGTTACATAAGCCCAGTTATCTAGAGAGTTTATAATAGGCTTGTCCGGTATTTTAGTTGCAGTATTTACATCACTGTCAAGCCCCGTTTCCATCAAACATTTTCTGCTCAAAACATTGTTGTCAGCTAAACTCACAACAAAGTTGGAGTAAAATGTTGAATGGAAACACTAGCATAATGTTTTGAGCAGTGTTGGCCAACAAAAAGTGTTGGCAGCCGTTGCAGCTGGCAACATTGTTGTGAGCTGTGCTCAAAAGGTAATGGAAACGATGTCCAGCTGCCAACATTGCTGTGAGCAGAACTCGCGCATGCGCACTTGCTCTGTGAGTAGTTCCAGCAGACGCCGCGCCGCACATCCACCGCAGCACCATCGCACCTCTAGCCTAGCGCCTAGCAGACGGGTTAAACACCAACAACACCACGTGTTTTTGTTTGTGGTGTAAACATTCTTGTGTAGTGTCGGTGTAACTTGTTGTGTTGGGCTTTTGGACGGTATAGTGAGGCCATGGCGGTCAAGTCAATATTGGGGAAAAGACGAAGTGTTAAAGTTGATATCTTTGTATTTGTAACATTAACTAATCGAACAGGTTTTTAATTTTAATTTTGAGATTCATGTATCAGGATTCGATCTTTGAAGCCAACTGTTGTTAATATGATCAAAATAAAACAACGAATTCTGTTTACTTATGTAATATTTCATTTCATTCATTATTTAGTATTAAGTTTTTTTTTTTAATGTTAACTTTTATTCATACACCTAATAATCACTCCTCAGAAAGGCTGCCCTAATATTCATTTTCCTAATTTATATAATTTCATTAATATGTTCAATTAATCATTAATAATATTCATTCATAGCCTATATATTTTTTTTACAACACCCACAACCTAATTATTTATTAAATATGTAAGAGAATTGCAATACATCAAAATTTCTTATAATATCATTTCAAAATTAGTCCTTAAGGAATCAAAATTTAAGAAGCAGTGAAAGTGATCCCATGTGTTCAACAATGAGTGATGTGAAGATTGAAATTGAGAGAGAAGGAAGCCATTGAGAAGTTGAAATTGTTAGAAGAAGGACTCAAAATTTTACCTAAATCAAATTCATTCATCAAGAAGACCAGTTTCAAGTTATATCACAGTTTTTTTTAGCCTAAACCTCAAGAGGACTCAACTCAATCATTATCTTCAAAATTAAATATAACCTTTTCTTTAAACTCTTTTAAATTTTGTACTAATTGGACTTACCTTTTGGACAACACCAAAATTAGATTTTCCATTGTTGAGATTGTGTAAATTTAACATTTTAATTAGGCCTATTTGGACGCCATTAAATTTATTAATTATCAGCATTCAAGCCAGCACGACACCCTACCCTGAGAGATGTCACATCTAAATTATTTGAACCTTTATTTTATTATTCAAATTTATTTTTATTTCAATTTAATTTCAACCCCATACACCATTGTCAATCCTTTCATTGTAACGTCAAGCCTTTTCTCATTGCATGTTAATTGTTCATTTGTTTAAATAAAACACATTTTGTAATCCATATCTTTGTTAACTCATTAACTTTAAACATTAGAATAGGCCTAGCCTTAAAATGAATATTTTAAGGTGAATTTACACTTAGTTGAGATTACAAAATAAATAAATAAAGATACCCTACTAAATAATGAAATGTTTACAGTTAATTAAAAACAGAAATAAGAAAATCAGTCGTTCAATTTCTAAAATCGGCCAGGGGGTAAAATTCCAGGGGGTAAAACTCCGGGGGTAAAATTCCGGGGTTAAAATTCCGGTGGTAAAAATCCGGCCCGTACATCTTCAGTTGTCTAAACGCTAGTTATATGGACAGTACAATTCCGGTTTTCATCGCTAATCTAATTAATCACGCTCTGACTATTTTCATTAGACTTCCAAATCCGCGGGGGTAAAATTCCGGCCGCGAACAAACTTTTGGCCACTCAGGTTACAACGTCATAGTGACGTCAGGTTTGCCCAGGGGGTAAAATTCCAGGGGGATAAAATTCCGGCGACCCGTGGATGGTAGTGAAATGTGCTCACAGTAGAAGGAGGGGTTGGCGGGAAATGTTGGTGCGAAATGTTGGCGCGTACTGCTGGAATGGAAACAGCGCACCAACATTGTTGGGAGCTGTGCTCAAATCAACTTGAACTTAGCTCCCAACATTGTTGGTACAAAATGTTTGATGGAAACGGGGCTTCAGGGTTTACTGAGTCAACAATTTTGTCAATTTCCCCCAGAATATGTTCATTGAATTCATCAGGATTTGCGGGGCATTTAAGAGTTGGGGTTGGCTTAGAAACACGATTTACCAAATTCCATGCCGCCTTGCACGGATTTTTTGCAGCTTCAATCTCAGTCATGTTTGCAAGTTTCTTTGCCTCGTCCACCTTTACTCTATACAACCTCTTACTTCTAATGTACAAGCTTAAGTACCTATTTCTATCTATTACCTCAACAGCAGGGGCCTACAGTAATTAACATTATTGTTGAGACAAAATTACCAAATGGACAAGAAATATACAAAGACTTTCCATAATGTGATTTACTTGTTAAATGCCACAAATAATATCAATCACGGCCATGTGATAAGGTTAGAGTAGATAAGGTTAGGGTTATAGGCTAGTGTATAGCTTTTCAATGCCCAAACAAATCAATTTGAGATTTCAGTGTGCTGTACTAGTTTGACTGCTGACCTACTACCTACCTACTTTATTAAAGAAGACTTCATGAATACACACAAACACATGTACAGTAACTCACAAACACGGGAATGGCAAAAATATAGACAAAAAAACTTGGCCCATGGTTGACAGTACTAGGATAATACGGCCCCCATTTTGGGTACAGTTTCTTAACTGGGCTACACTAATATTTATTGAAACTATCGAATTGAAAATATTGAGTAATAATCGATATTATACAATTTAACTATCATAACCTAACCTAACCAACCAAACTTGCTGATGGTGAAAAAATCACATGAAGGTTTACTAATTGAATCGATAGTTTCAATTAATATTAGCGTAGCCCAGTTAAGAAACTGTACCCAACATGTTTTACAAATTGACTGATAAGAGGTCTGGATGTAACCCTCTTTAACTTTGGCTCGTCACAATAAAAATTTTTACTGACTTGGCATTAAAAAAATTTAAGCTAGGGCCTAGCCTACACAAGTAACTTAAGTGAATTACATGTCAATAAAATTAATACCCCCGCCGCTACAACAGTTTTCATTTTCTCCATATAAATAACATGGAGATTTTAAATTACACTTTTTAGAATTTTCTCTTTGACCGTTAGGCATACAACAATGGTTCAATATACTAAATTATTTCTTTTTTTAAGCTCTACAAAATGGTTGGGAAAGATATTCCAAAATTTTAAGTTTTTAGGGTCAAAATGGGAAAACCCCATTTTTATCCCGTAAAACCCCTCATAAACCCCCGTTCCCATGGTCCGATCATGCTGGTTCGCAAACTCGTTCAAATAAATGTAGGTTTACACGTTTATACCAAATTTCATCAAAATCGGATCATTTTTGTTCATTTTTGTTCGAGTTATCGTGCTAACGGACACATATATATATATATAGATATATATATATATAGGCCTATATATATATATATATATATATATGAATTTGAACGGATGGTGTTTTTGGCCTCTAGAGACCTCAAAAGGAAAAAGTAAATCGGTCCCAGGTCCAGGTCTTACCATGAGACCTACGGTAATAGCTTATTCCCTATATGGGAAATTCGCTAATATTCCCTATGTGGGAAATTCGCTAAAAAAGGTCTTACCTGCTTTAGATCATCGTGCAATGAGTGTGTCTTGGCATCCTTTTCATCAGTGCCTACATAATATTTAAAAGTTTGTACATCAAAAGAGGCAGTGATTTTGACTTGAGCAATTACATTGTTATCCCAAACTTCAACGTGAAACGATTCACTTTCTATTGGGGTAGGCAATCGAACATACATTGCATAGTTAACAGGGAAAAAACTATTGCCAATCGATATGAATGTTAAATGAAATCCAGGGTATTTACTTAAGAAACAATATGCAATAGATTCAGGGTTTACATTTGGTATCTGAATGTTGAATGAAAGAGTGTCTTTTACAAGGTGACATTCAAAGTTTGGAATGATATAGTGAATATTTGGTTTGAGAAATCTTTGTGGGGATTTGTTATTCTCATGAGTTATGGTTTCATTTGGAGATTCAGTCAGTTGTTTGCCACTAATAGTAGAATGATCATTGTCCAAAGCATCATCATCACTGCTGGATACACCGCTATTCCTTCCATTGTTGATGTCACTTTCAACACCACTGTCTTCACGTTCCAACAAAGAGTTGAGTTTAGCTTTAGTTTTTATCACAGGCAAAGTCACAATCAACACTCTTTTAACGGTGTCAAATTTGGCATTACCTTTATTGCTGTCAACTTCATAGGGTAGATTCAACTGAAGTTTATATTTAGCAGGACTTTCACTCTGAAGAATCAGAGTTTTCTCAGTAACATCAATTGAGGAATCACTACAGTTCTTTAAAAGTGGTAAATCTATTTCTACAATGAGCTCGTCTGGAATGGTCATAGACATTTTTGTAAGTGGATCATTTGTGTAATGTTGCATATCTATTCTGTTGCGGTGTTTGATACTATATTTCGGAATTGTATAATCGGGCAGGATAGTTCTGCTAACATCTTTAGTTTTCTTTTCTTCAATCTTTGTGTTTTTTGAAGGCATCATTTTTGAGAATTCACCTTCTTTAGGAGGGGGGTATGGATAGTTTAGTATTTCTGAACAATCACTCGGTTGAAAGTTTGCAATTTTCTTTCGAATTACAGTAGCATGCTTAGTTCCTTTAAAAGCCATCTTTGGAAATTTCAAATTGACCTTGTCAAGAGAAACATGAAAACTATCTTCCACTGCATCAAGAGCAGTATTATTGACTAGATTCTTAAATGCCTCATTGTTCTTAGCAAGATGCAATGTATTAGAATGAAAAACTACATCATAGACCAAGCAAGAATTGTTTTTCTTATCCAAATCTTCTCTAGGTGGAGCCATGCAGTAAGGAATGGACCACTTAAGCCCTCGATGTCCTTCATCAAACCCTGGGGTCGAAGAAGGCTCTCCCACATTGTCATTTGAGCAAATGTTAATAAAGGCTTTAGTTTCTCCATTTACACTAGTTTTTACCACGTACCCAGATGAGGGATGGATGAACTTGACATCAACACCTCGTTCATTCTCAAGTTGAGTGATTTCTTGTTCATATTGTTTTCTATTGTCTGGATCATTTATCTCTTTTGCGTATTCAATCAAAAGGTTCCTGAATTCTTCTTTCTGAAGAGCCTCACCAATGTTTTTTAATTCATCCCGTGACAAATTCAGATCTTCCCATTTTTTCTTGTGTAAATCTTCCATAAAGATATTTACCGTGCAATTATATATTTCAATAAGTGAATTAGGCTACTAAAACATTCAACACCGAAAACAAGAACTGCGTTTTAACAACCCTTCCGAGAATAACCTCTATCAGATTCTAGAAATGTCCGTGGTCGTCGAGCCGACTGTACGGATGTTAACAATTTTACAAATATTTTATTTCTGTTTAACAGAGTAACTGTGTTACTAGATATAGACGCACTTTTCTAGAATAGTTCGTTTAAATTATAAATAACAAATGTGAGACCGAAAAAGAGGTAGAAACTAGAAAGTTTTGCCGATACCGCACCGATTACCACCCACAGCACAAAAAACTAGGCCAGCTCACTTCGCTGTCGCTCGCGTTCGCAGCTGTCGCAGCAAGATCAGCACGAAAACGGAAAACATCAAAACAAAAACATAAACATATGACTTTTTTGACGTCTATTTTGTTTACCGAGTGGCAACATCCCATTGGTTGATTTTACCTTTGAGAAAAAATGTGTGCCAAAGAGGATGTACCACTACATAAATATACGTTGATATGAATTTACCGGGGACAGCCACGGACAGCTCACTTACTCTACAGATCATAGTCTATACTAATTCAAATTCGTTTAAGTTTCAAATTCGTTTATTCAGCTAAAAATTAACAAAACAATTGCATTAGCTAAGTCAGAAAAAAATCACAACTCATCATAGGCTACACTTAAAAAATAATATTTACAAATAAGCTTACCATCTATTTTATTTATTACATTTATCTATCTATTTATCTATTTATATATTTTATTTATCTATTTTATTTATTTTATCTATTTTATTTATTTTACAAAAGCAAAATTTGCTCCATTTAATGGAGCTTATATCATCCTCTATTACAGGTTGAAAAAAAACTCCATGACGCTGTAACATGAGAATCTAATGAGATAATCTTTCAAACGTTTTCTAAACTTTGAATGGTTTAATTCCAACTTCAGGGACCGGGATAGGTTATTGTGTAGTTTAATACCGTTATAAATAAATTTAAAAATTGTCAGGGAATATTTTGGTAGAAATCCAGCCAGGTAAATGGAAATATGCTTAGTCTGCATGTTTGCTGCGGCGAGAGTATTTATTGCTTCCTTAAGGGCTTCCAAGGTCCTTGGTCGAACTTTGTAAACCTCAGTTGCAGATTCGGTCGCCCGTACACTTGTAATGTAATCCATTTCCTTAAGGTTTTAGCATCGGGAACACTATCATGACAATTCAAATCAAACCGTCTACGAAATTCAGGCTGGGTCGCCACCACACTATCCTTATTTTTAAAGAACGTTTCGACTACAAAACCACGATGCTCGCCAGTTTACGGCATGGTGACTACTAAGTACTAACAATAGCGTCTTTCCCCCCACCACATGAAACCCAAAACGGCACACGGAAGATTTCTCAGGTGCCGTTTGACGTCACTAACTGCTGACTTCACTTTGAGGGAACACAATTACCGCAACGATACGGATTTGAGCCATCGGCCTCGGTGGTGTAGTGGATAGCGTGTCGGGCTGATAATCCGATTGTACCGGGTTCGAATCCCGCTGGTAGCACTAACTTTTTATCAATTTTTTTTTTCATATCAGCAAGTTTGGTTGGTTTGGTTAGGTTATGACAGTTTAATTTTATAATTAAAAAATTGTAAAACTAAATTTAGGCATTTATAATTTTATTTTATCAACAAAACTATTTTTTAGATTAGTAAACCTTCATTCGATTTTTTCATTATCAGCACGTTTGGTTAGTTTGGTTAGGTTATGACAGTTTAATTTACCCTAATAATAGAAAAATTATAAAATTGTATGTTTCTTCAGACGCAGCAGTTAGTGACGTCAAACAGCACCTGAGAAATCTTCCGTGTGCCCCACCGAATGAAACCTCTCCCACTCCGCTAACTCGCGCGCACGCTCTTCAGCGACTGATTGAAACTAGGCACTCTGTACTTACTGAGCTTTAAGGCTGCATGGTTTGAAACTTTTGGGCTTAAAAGAACATCAAGTTCTTTGTTTTTAAAATTTTTTTCTCATCGCCAATCCACTCCACTGCCACTGTACTCGTACTGCCAGTGCGGCACTGCCACGCCACTCTCCACTTTCCACTCCACTCCACTCCACACCACACACAATCACAATCTTCATTCTTCAAAGTAAGTTAGTGTCCTGTCAAAATAAAAAACTCTAGATAAAAATGGCTGTTCCAAAGTATCTAATCTAGTAAAAAGACAAACAGTTTTCATAGACTTTGTTGAACCAAGTCTCAGATTATGGAATTTAGTTTAGTTGATGACACTAAATTATAGTCTTACAAATATTTCGTGTAGCCTAAGTCCACCAGTTAGTTTGTTGTTATTGTTGTTGGCCAGCTTAATCACTCTAGGCCTAATTTAGCTCATATTTATTAGACCACCTCATCAAAATGGTAAGTTAAGTTAAAAAGAACTATAATAGGCCTACCTAATTTTGTAAATATTAGTATAACGACGCAATCTATCCGATATACTTCGGTCAAAGATTAAGACAACAAGTATTCAAGTTTCAAAATTTCATCAAAAATGTCTATTTTTTTTTTTAGTCTTATATAAGTTTTGTCATATTTATGTATTGGTTTGACCGTTGGTATAAATAAATAAATAAACAAGTACCTGTTTTAACGGGGTTGAGAGAAAAGAATTTATTTATAAAAATAAATACATCTGCCTTTAAAAATAAGGTTGCCAATGACACAGAAAAAAATGTACACTTAAAATATTGAAGGATTATACAGCTAGATAAGACTGATTAATTTTGATGTTTGCCGTATAAGTTAGATGATTTCTCATTATGGTCAATGAACCTCTTAATGAATTCATGAATTATACTAGGCCTACTTATGTTATATTGAATTTGTTTACCTTATCTACCAAAACTAGACTAGGCTATTTTAAGCACTTTTTACCTTTGGCACTTTTGCCTATTTTACCCTGAAAATCAAGAAAAAGGTTGCACTTAAGTTTATGTCCTACATTTACTATTAGGCCTAAACATTATAGGCTACAGTAGAACCTTGATAAGAAGACCCTAGGCCTAGTACAATAATTATTATCCAGTACAGTAGGCTCCCTCTTATCCGGGCACCTTTTAACTGGACTACACTCGCCGGAAATGACATCTCTTTAACCGGACAATTTTTATCATCACATCGGTTTAACCGAACTAGGTCGGCAGGAAGTGGGTGGTATTGAAACGACTGTTCTCGTGGGAAAGATTTGAGACCAGTGATCTCGTGTCCAAGGCTGGGATTATACTAGGACGCTGGCGTCCAAGAGGCTAGCGTCCCACTTCGAGCCGAAAATGACGTGATTTGTGTTGGGATGCTAAGTTAGCCTCTTGGACTGCCATTTTATTTCAATGTTTTGCCACTTTTTGTTTAACTTATATCTATTTAAGTTAAATAACATTAGATTTAACGAGTACCCAGATTTGTTACTTTAAGGAGGCTAATAAAGTGTGTTTTTAGTAGCCTAAAATATTAATAGCTTAGTATAAAACAAATTGGCCAAGTTTGATCAAAATATATCCATACACAAGCAAATTCCAACAGTTAAGTTAGCCTAAGTTAACAATATTTTCTATAAGAATAATATGGGAATTTTAATTTACACTTCTTTGAATTTTCTCCGTAACTAAGTTAATAAAAACCACTTTAATACCTTATAGGCCTACTTAATTATTTGTTTTTAAGCTAATTAAAATGGTCTAGAAAGAAATATGACAAAACCCCTTTTTTACCCCATAAAACCTTGTTCCCAAGGTCCGTTCATGATGGTGGTTCGCGAACTCATTCAAGTTTATCCCGCCCTTCACCTTTAAGCCAAATTTCATCAAAATTGGACAAAAATTACTCAAGCTATTGCGTTTACGGACATATATGATATTTATATATGATATTTAAATCTACGGACGGGACGGTGTTTTTGGCATCTGGGGACATCAAATTGAAAAAAGTAGATCGGTCTCGGGTTCAGGTCTTACCATACGACCTATGCTAATAGCGTGTACCGGTAGGCCTATTCCCTATATTCCCTATATATAATTTTTACAAATTTTCAATAAAAGGTCTGCAAAATCGCCAAAGGTTTGGTGATTCCACACTTCTAACATTGGCCACTGCTAGAGTTAAGTCAATTTTTCATCTGTAAGCTACCCTCGTTGCTGATGATAAAGTGTTGATTCAAAACTTGTAATTCAAAACTTCCTCACAGCCTCAGCAACAGATTTCTTACACTCAAGTTATTTTTCTTGGTGCCGTAGTTCTTAAACCAACCATTAGTAGGCTAAAACATCTGGTTATTGAACCAAAATATGAGAGTATTTAAATTGAAAGTAGTTAGCCTATTATTGTAGCCTAGTGTTATAAAACAACTGCCCTTTATCTTTAAGAAACTTTATTGCCATTGCAGATGCAGTTTATGCTTCTCTTCAGTAGACAAGGAAAGCTCCGTCTGCAGAAATGGTATGTCGCTCATCCAGACAAACTGAAAAAGAAAATAACAAGAGAACTCATAACTACAATTCTTGCTCGAAAGCCTAAAATGTGCAGCTTTCTAGAATGGAAGGACGTGAAAGTAGTTTATAAGAGGTATGTAAGAGGATCCTGGGAACCTCATAGAAGGGTTGCTAGGGAGCTGAATGTTATAGGGCTTACTGAGCTTCAAATCCCGCCAAATCACTAATGGATTTTATCCAAGTAATAATGCCGCAACCCCTAGGTCCAGCCTGAAGTAATGTGATAAAACGATCCTAGGACAAAAAGAAATACTAGTTTTACACCAAATAGATGATAAAATGAAGTTTTTTATTAGAAAAGAAATAAATAAATTTTACAAGAATCACTGAGATGGTTTAGAAAGTTCCCATTGTAATTGAAGATAAAGAAAACTTATACAGAACAGCCTAGATAACAATACTTTATTTTGATCTTAGCAGATGTGTATTAGATACCTACTCTAAAATTAGTTCTTGTTCTTTTCAGATATGCTAGTTTGTATTTCTGCTGTGCCATCGAGCAAAACGACAATGAACTCTTAACGTTGGAAATCATTCACCGTTACGTGGAACTTCTGGACAAATACTTTGGAAGTGTAAGTTAATTATAGTAGCCTTTAATTTTAAACTCTAAAGTATATTTTTATGGTTTCAGCCTTTGCCGATTATAAAAAAGTTGTAGGCTACTATTAAAAGTGGGTCTTCAAATAATGTTAACATAAAATAGCCTACTCCCAATAATCAATTCAAGCACATTTTTCTCTCATAAAACATTTACCGTCCGCTTGAAATGAGTCTAATTTTTTTTTTAACTTGTCCCCTATTAGGCTTTCTAACCCAAACTTTGAAAATCTTAGTACCTTGTAGTGGTGTAGTGTGCCGATGTAGGAATGGCGATCCACCTCTGCTTTTCTAAAAATCCTATATTTTAATAGGCAATCCCTGACGCAAAATTTGGATTGAGGATTGAGATTTCTTGTGTAGTAAGAAGTTTTAGTGTGGAAGCGTGTGTATAAATTTAGTTGAGTAAAGTTTAGTAGTTAAGTTTAAAGTTTCTAGGTAATCAGTAAATATAAGTTAAGAATTGGATTAGTTTGATGGATAACATTTAGTTTGTTGATCTAATGGCTACAGAATAGCAGGTCAATGAACTCTGCCCATCTGAAAAAATAAGTTTTATGCTGCCGACTCTATAGTTAGCAAAGAGGTTTAGGAAAGAAGGCATTCTGAATCAGTAGAGTTATCTTTTATGTAGGCTTCTGCCTACTTTTACAAACAAATCAAATGACTAACTCTTGCTAAAAAGTAAGTCTATACAACCGTTTTATGAACTTTTGTCATAGGTATGCGAACTGGACATCATCTTCAACTTTGAGAAAGCTTACTTCATCCTTGATGAACTGTTGCTGGGAGGGGAAATACAGGAGACATCAAAGAAGAATGTGCTGAAAGCCATCGCAGCACAGGACCTTCAACAAGAGGTAAATGATGGCGATAGTCCGTACGAACTGTAGACAAACGTTGCTATTTGACGTAGACTGTTGTGCCTTGCTAGTCCGAATATTTTACTTTGTCTTAGTTTAGGCCTAGGCCTACATCTATTCTTTATTCCTATTGCGTTGTGATAGAGTAGGTTTGTTTTGATTTGCCATTAGGAGGTATTTTGTTAGTGTATACAGTTTAGGATTGGACTATTAAAGAGTCGATTACAGGTTGTAGTTGTATACATCACTGTCAGTTACTTGGTTTACTTGCAAACGTCATATTGGATTGTAAAATAAAAGATCAAGTTTATTTTAGTGTCATCCATATAAGAGAAATGTTATGTCCTAACTGATTCTGTACATCGTTTGGTGGTTTTTTTAACACATTTTATTATGAATTTTCAAAGCATCACTGTACTTTTATCATTTACAACCATAAATACATTTGGTCTTGAGTTACCTTATCAAACAATTTTGTTTACTAGTATTACATTGATAATTTTACCAAAGGTTTTAGTTATAAAGTTATGGTTGTGATTTTAAATTAATGTAAATCGTTTGGTCAAAACTAACAACATAGTTTTAAAAGCAATTTGCAGTTTAATGTGGAAAGTATAGCTGAATACTAATACTATTACTATTTACTATTACTAACGTTTATATTAGGCCTGCTATAAAAAATAGTAGTTCACTTTTGTCTCGTGACAAAATTGTCCTTGGTTAATGTGTAACATAAGTTTCTTTATCCAAATTGTAAAACATGTTATATTTTATCAGTTAAGCATTTCACAAAAAGTACAGTAGCATTACCATGTAAAAAGCTACTATAATAAATCCCTATTTAATGATTCGGTATTTTCATGCATTTACTTTTCTAGTCTTAAATGATTGTTGAGAAGAATTAAATAGTCAACATCATAGCAGATCTCATATAAAACTTATGATAATATACTGTTTTTCACCACTATTTTCCGATTTTTATAACTACAGTAATTAAACTGTTCTCAAACTTCACTTTTACATTAGGGTTTCAGTTCCTTCCGCTGACTATTGCTTTATTTGTTAATGTCAGGAACTTAAAACGAGAATTGAAGATTAAGTTGAAATATTACAACAGTCCAATGTTTTTATCTATATTATTCTAAGAACAATAAAGTGTAGGCCTAAAATATCTCAAGAGTTTCATAAGGATGCAAACTACAAAAAACAAGCTTAAATTGCAAAGCACAGAATCTTTAATTTTCTCCTTTAGAATCCACCTAAATTCTTCTCGATATAGGCCTACTTACATTAATGATGAGAATGTTAGTTTGAACTTAACATTATATTATATCTTTGCCCAAAAATGTATTCAGTGTTACATCAAGGCTTTTTAAAGCAAACTGACTTAGTTATAAAAATATAACCGAAGCAAACATGTTCCTTGATCTAACAATAACATAAAGTGATACAAATGTCTTGCCTATCTATTTTAAGGGAATACTTTTTGAATGTGAAATAAATAAACAAGTTAATCATGTTTGTAAATACAATTTTTGTTTTAAGATTATTTTGTTTTTGAAGATTGTGATAACAATTTAAACATTGGTAGGGTTGGGGGACGGGTAGAAGTTTGTACCAAATTGTTGAAGGATTTCTCTGTAAAAAGTAAAACTCAATCCATCATCAGTCAGGAAAATATTTATCCTTATAGTTTGCTTACTTCTCAAGACTTGTTAAATGGAGTATGAAACATGAATTGAAGGATATTGTAATCATTCAATTAGTATCCAGGGGTTGTAGGACTCGTCATTATTGGTATTGTATTTTAACAAACACTAGTATTGCCATTCCGTATACTGTAGTATTATAATGTAATTCAAGTATTGTGAAGGATATTTATTATTAAAGAGTTACAAAATTTCAGAGTATATTTATTTATTACCTTCAGTTTAAATTCGTAGTTTTTGGTAGTGGTTAGTAACTGCACACTAAAGTTACACTTTAGTTATGTTTTTAATATGGTAGGAAGGTGATTCTTTTAAAAATGCTAAGGTATAGTAAAATAAAATAAGACATTAGGGGGTTCTGTCAGCATCCTTAAAGTCATAATTCATTTAAAATGATGTACAAAACCTAAGGTGTACATTAAATAGTTTATAAATAATTTTTTGAATAAGCCTACTACAATACTTTGTTAGTATTGGTCTTAAGAAAATTAAAGAATTTGCAATTTTGAGAACACGGAAATGGCTCAGAAACAAGACAAGATGAGATTCCGTAGTAGAACTAAATTGTGAACTGGATAGAACCTTTTATTAAAAAAAACTCCAATATGACGGATGCAAGGAAGTTTTGATTAATTTTATTATTACCTAGAAACTCTTTGAAGCAAGGAAACTTGACAAGATTTTGCTTTGTTTTTATTTTGTTGAAAACATAAAATAGGCCTGAAACTAATTACAGTTGTTTACATCTCCTTTAAATATAAAAATAAAATATTCTTTGAAACAATATTGTTGCAATGCATGACTGGAATGATGCATGCTACATGTTTTGATGGTAAAATATCAGACTGCATCTTGTGGTAGAAATTCATACAGTTAAACATACAGTAACTATATTGATTACCCTACGAAATGTATTTTTACTGTTTAGTACAAAATGCAATGAAAACTAAATAATGTTTCAATAACGTAGTTTGAATCACATTACCTGATTTTTTTGTTTCCATACCATAAATGTTAAAAACTATAAATGTTTTTTTCTGTAATACCTTTTTGGGTCGATGACTGTTTTGTTTTTATAATACTTACCTAGAAAATCTCAGTATTTTTAATCTCTCCTTGATCATTAGAGGTTTTATTCGTGGTCTTGGCTAAGAAATCTTATTTTATAATAACATAAGGCATTGAACTTAAACTGTTCTTTTTATATGGAAGGAATTAACTAACTTCAATAGTGATGTAGGTATAGATATGTTCTAGCATGCTTTTTAGATAAAAATCATTCCTCTAGTACGGCAGATCTGTGCATATTCAACTGCACGTACCATCACTCAAGTCTGTATAAAAAAAATATATTAGCAGTTTTTGGGTAAATAATATGTTAAAATCAATTAGTGGTCCATAAGTTTCTGATGTTAACTCTGTGTTGAATACATTCAAACGCTGTCAGAATCCATAGATTTTATCAACGTCAACCACGTCGTCAGATAGAATTACAAATTTACTGTGAAATATAACTCTTGTTGTAAAGTGACACTAACCACTGAAGTTGTCACGTTACAGTTAATTTTATTTTACAGGTTGACACAAAAGTAATTAATTTTATTTCTATAACAAATTAACTTATGTACTAAAATAAAATATCTTTGAAATAGATATCGGTAGCCACAGTAGGCCTAAATCTTCTTAAACTTGTTAATGGACTCAAATCAAGATATCTTTCTGGAGCGGCCGGATATTGTTCAAGGAATTCCGTTTTGTTTGTTTTGTTGTTTAGGCCTACCTATAGTTAATCTATTGATTCAGTTAAAATAATACAAGCATATTTGATCACTTATTTAATTGATTAAATGATGTGTGTAAAGTTATTTTATTGATTAAACACAATCTTCAAGTTAGTCTCGCTCTGTGATGTAGTACTCACTCTTTTTAATGCTACGTTTACTGTAGAGGCCTGATACTGATAAAAGGTTTTGTGTTGCAAACTGCATGTAGAGGTTTTCTGTGAAACAAAAGGCACTAAAAACGTTTGTTTCTGTAATAAAACACCATGACTGTGTATTTTAGTTGAATTTTGTTTTTGGAATACAAGAAGTCCCTACTTTATGTTACAACTTTGTTTAATCTGTGTTATATTACCTATCTGATTTTAACAAATTTTACTCCACAGTTGGTTCTGAAATTCAAATTTCAAAACAACAAATATTTCAGTCCAGTCAAAGCAAATAATCTGGTCAAGTAGAATAGCCTAGGTAGATATGGACAGCATTGTACTTTGACTTCAGGATGGGGTGGAATTTTTATTCCCCTCCTGTTTTTTGGGACATGAACAAGACGGGATTTTCATTTGCATTGTCTCCCTACGTCTCTAGACTTCTAAATCTCATTACAATAGCAGTGAAATCGTGGACACCTCCCCCCAATTGCGGAGATATTATCATCGTTACCCGCCAGCTGACATCTCACCAGTCACCCTTTTTCTATCTGCCACTAAAAAGATGCTACTGGATTGCAAATTCTCAAAACATTTTAAATAGGCCTACTGAAAAGTAGTGTATCTTTATTACAAATTCCTTCAACTTAGTATCAGAAACAAGGTTGTAATATCTTCGTGGCCTAATCAGACTTTTTCATTTACTAAATGTCCTGTCACACAACTTCTAAAAGTTGTTTTAACAAAATCGCACAGTTGTAGCGTAAACCGAGCTTTGCGTTGAAGTTTTTCAAAGCACAATATCGTGTTTATCCTGCTTTGCGATGAGCCACCATAGCAGGTAGCAAGCTTGGTGCATGGGGGTGTGAGTGTATCACTGTTTGCAGGACGAAGCTGTGGAAGGAGCGCTGAGAGAGATCGGGTTGCTGTAGACGACACGTAGACTAGTGCTTCTCACCCGACACATCCACAACCGCACAACCTGTGTATTGTACTTGTAGAACTAACCATGTAGTATGAGCTAGGGCTGCGGCATTGACTTTTGTATACTTTCTAGTAGTTGAGTTCTACGACTATTGTTTTATTCATCCCATTCTTGTGTAGCTGAATCCAGCTTTAGAATGTAAAAGTAGTTTTATTGAGCCGCTGACACAGTACTGATCTCCGTCAAGTACGCAAACTTTTTTACCTAGCGGAGTTGAAACAATAACTTATTATAAACTATGGCATCCTCTATGTCACATCAAATATAGTACAAAAACTTAAAAGAGAAATTTTAACAGCAGTGCTATGACACTATGAGGGGCTGAGCTAACTTGCGATTTGTCGAGAATAACCATTTTTTTTTTTGCATAAACTTTGTTCTTTTTGAGTAAAATGTTGGCTATTGCTAGTCCATATAAATTTAATATCTACGTCAGTATTTAAATTCAAAGGTTTTTCAACCTTGACACAATTTGGTCTTGTTTGTTGAGGTGGTTATGTTAATTGGGAGCTAAATTGTCGATATATTAGAGATTCTAAGAGGGGACTTAATCTCTAACATGATTTCTTGTAACCGTTGAATTCACAATCCTGTGTTTGAAATTGCACTTTAGTAATAATAGTGTTATATAACCTAAAAATCATCATCTGAATGGGTCGTTCACAATTGATTCTTTACATTTCCCATCGCTGATTGCTAAGAAGGTGCTGATGTCAACTTTAGTTGTTTCATATAGGTTATTAAAATCGTGTAACTTTTCCAATTTCACTTTTATTTTGAGCAAAAAGACTTAATCTTCCAGGGTATGATTAAAATTTTATTGTCAAACAATCGAGAAGGATAGGCTATTAGTTCAGATAAGTGTAAGTTGCTGACAGGGACTCACTTTTTAAAACTACCTACTTTATGTTTGTATCACCTTTTACTTTTAAAAACTCTTAAAATGAAATGTGTAAGATGAAAAATTAGCTGCAAAGTTTAATACGAGTTACAAGGAAATAAAAACATTTTAATGTTGTGACAGTGTACCTTGCATTTAAATCCATTTTCGTACTCTTGATTCAAGACGAACAACAGAGCCTAACGAACAATCTGTTTACACATTCAAATACTTATAGTCAATGTCGTAGCTAGTCTGAATTTGTATGGTAAATTTTTTTTAACAAAAAAATTCCCAATTCAACTTTTCATGGTATGTTGTGAAATGTACCAATTGTATTTTCTAACACATACTTGTATTGTAGTAAATTAATGCGGTGTTGAATCGGAAAAATAAATCAATACAATTTAAAGTTTTTGTAACAATATGGGTTAAGGAATATCAAAATTGTTATGTTGGGATTAGAAGTGCTGGTCACAGATCTTTACAGTAAACTTAATTACAATTTTTGGAAATTTAACGCATATATCTTGTGACTTAGGGATCTTCCTTTAGATGTTTTCCATTTTATAAATAGTTGGTGTCTCCATAGCAGATTTTGAACCTTTAGCATATCTATTATCCTTTTCATAAAAACATTCTACTTGTTAAATTTCACCATGAAAATTTCTCAGTGTATTTTGAATTGCTTAGTTTGCCAGAAGCATACTAGGTGCAGTACATAAAATGTAAAACAAATATGTATTTCACAATGTGCATTAAATTTAAATATGCAAAAATTGTTATAATTTAAAAACATTTCTTGGATTGTGTGCTCTGTAATTTATATTTTCATTTCCATAACGTAACTGTTGTAGCATTTCTTTTGACTATTAGCTGTAATTACAAAAATATATTGAACATTGTGTAAAGTAAACAACTGTAAACAGTATCTGTGAAAGATACCAAGCTGTCAATTATTATTAAAAAGTCAGAAGAACTTAACGTCAATGTTTTAAAACTGTATTTTAAAAAAAGTTGCTGTGTTTAAACATACTTATGTTGAATTAGTATTTTGATAACATTTTGAAATATAATGAATTAGTGTGATTGGATGGTTTAATTAAAATTTGTTATGGTGCTTATATTTTACTCTTAGTTAATTTATTTGGTTTGCCAGTTTTTAAATCTAATTTTATTTACTGAAGAGAATTTAAAGTGATTTTCATCATAGAATAGTATATTTCATAACTAGGGCTTAAAGTGACTCTTTTTGACCCGAGGTTGAGTTTTACGATCTAGGCGAAGCCGAGGTCGGAAAATGAGCAAGGGTTAAAAAGTCACTTTTTGCCCGTGTGGTGAACTATATTTTTTGTCATATTGCATCATTAATTAACAAACAAAGCTAGAAAACAAAATAATTTTTATGTAAAGATAACCTCTCAAAACGACTTCCAGCTTGTTTTCAATTCTGCTAATGCAAATAAGAAGCTGTTTAATAAGTGATACAATCATTTCGTCTATTACGATTGTGTTACAGTACATTATACCATAATATGTCGAGCAATCGACAACAATAGGCTAACCTCCTTACGTAATAAATTAATCGATAAATAATTTCAATCGATACGATTACCAAAATCGAAATTTACAACGGTTTTCAACAGCTCCCTACTCCCTAGTGAGTAAAAGTGCTACTTTAGACCCGCAACACATGCATTAAAAACGGCTGTTTTTGCTGCAGTATGACAAAAAATTAATTAGTTTGTGAGTTAGGGTAAATTTTCTGTGTAGAAGTAGTTCCCAATTTGGATTTTGATGCTTAACATAGCTAAACATATTTTTTCAAGTTAAAAAATATGTTCAAACTGAATTGGCTAATTGAAAAAATCTTTATAAATCATCAGTTGGGAGGTCCGACAATAATTTAAATGTTGTGGTTTGCTAAGGAAATTTAAACTGCCAACATTTAAAGATGGTATACTTCCTTTCAATGTCATCTTGTAATTTTAAACAAGGTAAAACAATATCTGTTACATACAGTACTTATATTTTTGGTTTGTTTAAGATTAATATAAACTAGGTATTTACTAATGTAAATCTACAATATAGAATATACTCATCATTCCTTAGAAGTAGATTGTTTTATTTTATTTGTTTTATACTTAAATTTTTATTATTGTTATTTTTGTGATATTGTATTTGTATACAATAAAAGAACAATTTTTGGGGAAGATCTTTATTTAAATCATTTTTCCAATCCCTCAATATCTCAGGTTCATTGACCCAGCTTAAAAATATGTTATTAAAATAATTATGCTATTTTCTGGATAAGGTTTTAGACCGGTAGGATATTTTTTTCACAGTAATTTGTCAGGTAAAAGCTACAGAGTAGACTGTTAGGGTAAGAACAAACCGGTTTAAAGAGTCACTAGTGAATTCACTTAAATCCATTGTTCATTTTGTTTTATAAAAATATACCATGATTTATATCAACCCAACATGTACTGTATGAGGTTTTAGGTCTGTAGTCCCAATGCAACTAATGTTTATGCCTTTTAAAATAGCCTAAAAAATGTCAATAACTGATTAATAAACAATGAACAAAAGACTAGATTGAACAATGAGCTTCATGAGAGATTATTAAAATAAAATTCAGGAAAAATCCAAACAACTGAACAACTTCTAGCTAAGATAGCTATCAAACAACTCATTTATATTATTGGACCACCGTGTTAATGTTACATTGCCTCTAAAGTTTAGTTATACTGCTAGAGCTTAATATTTTGGTCAAGGTATTTGAACTAAATGAAATAACCTGGAGATATTGTGAAGTAGGCCTACATACACATAAAACTTCATAACATCAAAATATTGATGTAATATCTAGCTCTGTACATGTCCATATTTGCTGAAAGAACCGTTTTTAAGTTCATGGGGAACAAGTATTTCAATCAAACTTATAACCAACTAATAATAACTTTGTTTTGCGGAAGAAAATAAAAGTTTCCCTCAATGGGTTGAAACTACAATGTTTCATATTACTCACCATATTGTCGATCAGCTCTATATGATTATTATGTGAAGGTTTAGGACATGTTTAGTTTTGACACAATTTAAAGTACAGTTGAGGGCTTCATAAAAAACGACACAAAACACATAACCTTACAAACAAGCAAAGAAATAATTGAATAGTTCGGCCAAATAATGTTGCAAGTGACAATTGTGCAGAAAACATTCTGGTGTTGCCAATGCCAACATGTTGCCAGTTTCCTGTGCATTCAATCGCTTGTAAGTGCTGCCAACCTATGTATTTTTAAAAAACTAAATATCCACTCAGTAGAGGATCTCATTTACATAATTTATCCTCAAAAATCTAAATTTCACAAAATTGTCAATTGCAACGTTGATCAGCAGAGATATTCAATTTTTTTATTTGTATAGAAAATGTCTAATGTTACATGCTTTGTATGATAATTTATTTGTACGTGTGTAACGTGTTTAGTGTGATTATTACAAAGCCCTCTAGTGAACTCTGAATTGACAACGCTGACAATGTATGAACTTCTCTAATCATTCAGAGCTGATTGACTGTTTAGTTAGTAACATTTTACATTACCAATACCTTAGGGGAGTATCCATGCTGTTTGATGTACTGTACGATAAGTTTGACTACTAAGCTATGTTTAGTGAGTTGCATTGCTCGTAGTTACGGACAAGTGCCGAGCTGCTGGGAGGGAGTCAATACATCGGCCTCAGGTAGGTACCTTGACATAGGCCGCAGCATATTGGCTCCCTCCCATGGTCCCAATGTGTTGCGGTTCCTTAGCTTAGCAAAACCATTCCCCCAATTGGTAGTAATGTTGATGAGTTCGAGCTAATTTGATAGTGGAAATAGTAGACTTTCACAGTCATGTTTGATATATTCGTTGTCTTCTAGGTTGGTTCTTGTCATTGAGCTGTTTTTGAATGTCGATGTTTTAGAATCGTAGTTCTCCATTATTAGCGCTTCCTCAAGAGTAGTTTGTGTAGTGCCTTTACTATTCAATTTGGTTATAGATGAAAGAGAACAGAATCTTTTCAAAAACGTCAACATTGAAACACAGCTAAACACAGTTCTACTGTACTCAGAAGACAGCGTGTATTAGCTTATGGTTTACAAATTTACTTAATTTTACACATATGGGTGGGAAGTAATATTTGAATTAATAAGAGGGTGTTGACTCAAAAATAATACTTACAAATTAAGCCTTGCAAAAATAAATGATAAACCAAATTAAAACGTAGAAATCTTTCTTTTACATTTTAAGGGAAATGTGTAGATAGTCAGGGTATTAAATGTTTTTTTAGCTTAGGAAAAAAAAATTGGGATCAGAAGTTTATAGATTTGTAGCTAAAATATTTCTTGTTAATTGCAATGTTTTTAATGATATTTCTTATCAAACGCAAAAGGTAGTAAAGTATTTGATAGATACAGTTATTGCCTTAAATAAGAAATACCATGAAGCTAAATCAAATTTATCTGTGAAAAATATTCCAATTACATTCATGTAATTGTTTAAAACTTGTAAATAATTCTAGGTTTGTTTACTGTACTTACATGTTCATGATTTATAAGTTTGCTGAAATTTGATTCACATACAGCATGTTAGGTAGTCTGGAAAAATTGTTACGTGTCAACAAATAAACAATAGTATTTTGTTGCAGGAGGAAACACCTCAAGGATTCTTTGATGATCACGGTCTTGGCTAATGTGATGGATTGATGCGTCAACATATTCCTGGACTGTACCAAGAATGCTGCTAATGGTTGAAATTTGATGCTTATATCGTTCTAGTATTACATGATCTCCTAATATTATTTGGCAAGTACTTAATTAAATAGATCAGAAAATTTGTACAATGACAATGTTTACATTAGGTAGATAATATTTTATATTCTTTTCATTGCTTAAGTTTACTTGTATTAATGCTTAGCCAGTTTTTTAGTATTTTGTTTCAATCTTTTTCTCAGCAGTAGACTTTCTAACAGGTCGAATTCTGTAGTTATTGATTCATAATAAATAAAAACCAAATTTTAAATTTAAGGCGTTAAATTGCTTAAAAAGATATTTTTTACTCTATCATAATAAGTGAATGGATTAATTTGGTGATTGTTATACACGAATGGCTACAGAAAATTAAATTTGAAGTTCTACTATGTAAAAATGAAGAATATTGAAAGGTATAAAGGTATTGAACTTATAGTGGAGCTATAATACACATGTTCAAATTAAAATATTCTCAGTTGCAAGGGTTGTAATTATTAAGGTTTGATTTGTTTTGTAAGATGCTAACTTTTAGAAAAATTATAAAACTATCTCAATTTTTTTATAAATATATGGTTTTAGGAAATATGTTATTACAAGTTAATTGGCATTTTATAAGTGAAAATCACATATTTTATTCTTTTACAAAATTGTGCTTAAATATATGATTGATTTAAATGATTCTAACAACTAAACAAAAATATGATTCTGTCTTCATCTGATTATTATTGTACTAGTATACACTAATATTAAAGGTTGTATTTTATAGTTTGTATTGCGTGTTTTTAGCACGCTTTGTGTGGTAAACGTTATTGTGTGAGCGTTCCACAATGGCAATAAAGTTTTAGTAGATAAATAAAAATATATCTATTATCTCTGTAAATGTTTATGTGAGCTTAGACACTGAGTGGATTTGTATCTAGGAATATTCTGTGTGAAATTGTCCAAATGCTCAGCCACTCAGCATCAATGTGTTCATACAGTAGAACTCCAGCAATCCGAACAACAATCCCTTACAGAAAGAATGTTAAAAACCTGTGACTGCCGTAATAAGTATCGTTAATAAAGAAGGCAGAAGCCATGGTGGCCGCAAAATCCTGAACATCTTTGGCGAATTTGTGGACATAATCATCGTCTCCCGTGATCATGGTCTCCCCAAATCTTTAATATCTCCTGCGATCTAGTAGACATCATCATCAACGTTTCTTGCAGAAAAAAAATGTCCTCCCCGATCATGAAATCTCATCAGACATGGAAAACTACCTCCCAATATCTGTAAAAATCCAACCATCCTAACTATTACTATCTCAATGCACGGTCCCAATTGATTTGGATCATTGAGTTCTACTGTAATTTTATTCCAAGATAGTGCATTCCCAAAAATACCATGTGCTAGTTAGTTAAAAAAAACCTGTTGTGAAATTAAGTACTGAATCTTAAAATATTTTAGAATTTATATTATATGTTACTAACTTGTTGAAGTGCAATGCATTCTACAATTTGGCTGTGTGACCCGTATGCCTTACTAGTTGATGTCTATTGTTTTGTTAATACAGTACCGTATTATAGAAAGAAAAATATTCAACTCCAGTGAAAATATTTTCAAATTGGTTTTACTTGTAAAATAAACTAAATACGACAACCACTACTCTTATAGATGTTGTTTTTGTCAACACAAAGTGCAATAGTTTTAAGTGAGATTGTTCTTTATCATAATTGTTTGCGCAGATTTAGCTTATAACTGATTGGTTAACCAATGTTCCTAACCCTGTGGTGTGCTGGTTCCCATGAAATAAGAATTATAATTTTGCTACTACTAATTTTAATTTACATTTAATTACTGTAAGTAGTATGGATGAATAGGCCATAAATCAGTCTAAATAAACTCATTTTTTATTACATATCCAGCTATATACAATTTTAAAATTAAATTATAAATGCGGTAATAATAGTTGCTTTTGTTAATATGTTATGTAGTGTAGTGACTGCTTAAAGGACTTCATTTCCATTATAATATTTCCTTTTATTTTATTTCATTAATCTTAGACATCAAAAGTGAATTTCAAAATTGATTAAGTTTTAATTTTATTGGTGTTTTTATGATTGAAATAACTACTTTTAACTTTTTTTTATTTGTTTGTATCGTATTCAAACTGAATTTAGACATTTTGAATCCGACCAGATTTAATAAAGCTACATTTACTATTTAAACAATGTTTAAGTAAATCCATTTGTTATACATGCATGAAAATAAAAATAGGAGTAGATATTTTTAAACTAATACATATATATATTATACAATTTTTTTTTTAGTTTCCATGCAAAAAAAATTAACCAAACAAATTTTAAAACTGAAAATAGATTTCTTTAATTTATAAAAAATATACAAATAATAAATAAGTGATCATAGTTTTAACTTTA